GTCATCGCCGCCAGTCACCAAGAAATTTCCACTTGGGTGAAATGCAACATCATTCTCCGGCGACGAATGCACTGTATTAGCTCGCCTTCAGCTTTGTCAAATATCTTAACGCGGTTACAACTTAATGCTAAAGCCACCAGATTGACGTCTGGATGCCATGCCAGCTGTCGTCCCATACCTCTTCCCCCGGTGAACGTTCGCATACATACGCCTGAAAATGTATCGCAAATTCTTAACTTGTCGCCGCACGATGAAATGAACTTACCATTAGGGCTGAATTTTGCTGCGCGCACCCATTTGTGTGTATTTTGAATCAGTATTTTGATGGCTGTTCGCCATTTTTTCTAGTCTGCAAACGAATAAGCTGACGAAGAAGCAAACAAATTCAAGCACATTGTTGCATTCTACCGTACATATTAAAATCTTAAAACATATGTGAAAAACTTTTATAATCTGAATATTTCTAATGTCGCAATCAAAACCAAATTTTATAAATAGCATTTTTAAAAAGCAATAATCTAATATTTTTCAAGTTTTTGGGCATATATGTTACCATTTGAGCAACAAATACTACCAAGTTTTAAGAGACTATTTAATGCAACTCAGGTCAAAAAAGCGCACTTTAGAGCAAAATAAGCAACTCTAAAAAACAGATGATCGCAGCTGTGGCCCAGGATGACGTCTATTGCTAAGATATCTCACTTGTATTTGTACACAATGCTCCGGATTGCAAATGAAACATTTTTTTTTAAATGCCGCGCGTTAGAATAAAATAAACACCTTTGCAATTATATTTCGATGCAGCCTTAATTGATATACTTTTTCTTGAAGTATTTGAAGACACTAAGAAAACATGTGTTTCGCCACTTTGAAATAGCAATGATTGCCAGCTCAAATACTATGGCAATGTCGCAATTTTGTCGCAAGATAGTTTCCATACAAAAGTAATCAGCTGTGTCGCAAGGTGGCAAATTTTGCGACAAATTCGACATTTGAAACAACTTTGCGACATTTCATGAATTCCACAAATATAAAGTGTGCCAGCTAGCAATGACCATGATGCAATAATACAAGGTGGTATCAATTGTGACAGCTCGATTTGACACTGCCTTAGCTCAGTAGAACGAGAAGAAAAACGGGAAGAAGCCCCATTTGGGGGAAAAATATAAAATTTCACATTGTTTCCTAAACAAAATTAGCTTTTTTATAGTATATTCGTAATGAAATGAAATAAAATAAGATAAAATACCTTTTTAAGAAAAGAAAAGTGTATACTGAGAAAAAATCAAAAAATATTCAACTATATTATTAGGCAAAGAATTGTTAAAGAAGTAACACTGTGTCAGCTAAGGCAGTCAATATGGCGGCAAGAACGATAGAATACAAGATTGCGCATTCCCGCAGAATGACATTT